CTTACAGCTCATAGGCAAATGAACCCATGCGCAAAGCGGACATGATAGCGTGGACTATCACGATCCTTGATGAAACTTTATTTGAAGCACGAACGAGACGGGCAGAGCTGGCGGGAAAAGCGTAACAACGGGGTATAGACGGGCCCTTGAAATAAAAATGTGTGACAAAATGTAGTATACCTCTTGTTTACGTGTCATCAGCTTTTACTCACATGAAACTTTGGTACGAGGTGCAAAATTTTTTGTTTTGTGAAATCAGATTTCTCTTGGTATCACAATTTTGAGTATATAAGCCGTACTTCAGATGAATTGGGCAAACCAATTCGTTGTTGCGTTACTATACGTACCATTCGTTACGTAACATTGCGAATCTATTCCTTACAACGCTAGGCTCTTGTAGAACTACGTGTTCTGCCCCCGCGGATCACGCAATAATGATTGATGGGTGTTCGCTTTCTATTGGATACAGTTTTCTTACACGGAGTTAGGATTTTGAGCACTCAAAACTTAGTACTCAGTACTATTAAATTTATCTCCAACTCTGAATAAATAAATAAGCAAGATTTTTCTCAGAATGGAACTTTTATCGGAACGGATTTGTTTTGTTATAGTGGTAGTGAATCGTAGCGAGTAGAGAATTCTGGCTGGTCTACCATTGTTCCCGTTACTTGTTTCTCAGGCCTGCTGAACGTTGCTCTAACCTAAAATTCCCAGCAAGTCGTGTAAGACACACCTATTTCAGCAGAATCAAGATTTGATTTTTCTTAACACATGAAGTTCAGCGAATGACTCCAAGAAACCAATCAGTTTGGTTGTGATTTTAGATCGAGCCCGTTTAAATCTAATTTCATGTGGATTTACCGCGCTTAAGATTTTATCTGGCATAAAATCATACGATTGGAATTAGATTCTAGATCTCAGGTGTTTCAAGGGCTCAACGTATGTACAAGCCATGCTTCATTTCTTTCAATGTGGCAGCAATCCAACAGCATGTGGGGTGGAATGCTTGGTTAACCTGGAAGTGGGATAGGTCCTTGATCCGAGTGGTTATAGCAGCACCTGTTACCGCTAC